TGGATCATAACAAATTATGGATAACATTGAAAAGAATGGGAATTTCAGAACACTTAATTGTGCTCATGAGGAACCTGTGCATAGACCAGTATATTGTCGTTCGAAGTGAACAGGGGGATACTGCATGGTTTAAAATCAAGAAGGGTGTGCATCAGGGTTGTATCCTTTCACCATACTTATTCAATCTGTATGCTGAGCAAATGAACCGAGAATCTGGACTATATGAAGAAGAAAGCAGCATCAGGACTGGAGGAAGATTCATCAACAACCTGCGATATGCAGATGACACAACCTTGCTTGTTGAAAGTGAAAAGGACTTGAAGCACTTATTGATGGAGCTAAAGACACCAGTCTGCAGTATGGATTATACCTCAACATAAAGAAAATCCTCATAACTAGACCAGTAAGTAGCATTATGATAAGTGGAGAAAAGTTTGACGTTGTCTAAGATTTCATATTACTTGGTTCCAAAATCAACGCCAATGGAAGCAGCAGTCAAGAAATTAGACAACGTACCACACTGGGCAAAACTGCTGCAAAAGACCTATTTAAAGTGCTGAAGAGCAAAGATGTCTCTTTGAAGACTCAGATGCACTGGAATGCTCCTTGGAAGTGAGAATGGCCAGACTTCATGTCACCTACTTTGGTCATGTTGTCAGAAGGGACCATTTCCTGGAGAAGGATATCATGCTTGGTAAAGTGGAGGGTCAATGAAAAAGGGGAAGACCCTCAACGAGATGGATTGACACAGTGGCTGCAACCATGGGCTCAGGTGTAGCAAGGATTCTGCGGCTGGCACAGGACGGGGCAGTGTTTTGTTCTATTGTACTCGGAATCGCTATGAAGTCAGAGGTGACTTGACAGCACCTAACAACAACAATAAGACAAAACATAACAAAGGTTACCCATATTGGTGGAAAAATGGGTTCCTGCCTCACACTATACATGGAAATAATATATATATATAAAGTCCTAAAAATCTCAAAAATAAAACTTGCTAATATTTGAGAGACATGGTCAAATACCTTTGACCTCTAGTTCAGGAAATATTTCTTAAGATATAAAAGTACAAACCATAAAAAATGATTGATTAGGGAAGAACCTTAGGGGGCAGTGAGTTTATGTCAAGGAAGAGGGACAGCCTTGAAAAGGAGGGTGACAATGGTCACACAACTCAAAGAACATCATCAGCGTCACTAAATTAGACACAGAGAAATTGTTGAATCACTGCATGTCTTGCTGTGAATATTCTCTACAACAAATATGAAAACATAAAAGAGAAAAAAAAAAAAAAGGATTGATGAATAGAACTAGGTTTTCAAAAATCCCCAAAAGCACCTTTTATTAAATGAAGAACATTGTAAACAAAGTGAAAGGATTATCCATAGAGTAGGAGCTATTTACAAAATATATAACTAAAAATGGATTAGACAAAAAAGAAGGATTAGCAACTTGTCGGAATGAGGACCATGAATGAGCCATAGGAAAAAAGTGAAGGCAAAGACTTCACATAAGTGATTCGCACAGAAGAAAACCACAACAAACAGAAAAGTACACAGTCTCACCCGTGACACCCAATGACTGGCAAAAAAAAATTACGCATTGTCTGGCCGCCTCAAGTATTGATGGGGATGCAATGAGAAAAACTGATACACTACTGCTGAAAGTGGGAATGGACACAGTCCCTCTGGGAAACCATTTGGACAAGACCTAATAATTTCACACACGTACCTTCCTAAACCACAACAAAAACACTGTTGTCAGGTCCAACTCATGGCACTCCTATGTGTTACACCCCTATGTGTTTCTCCATAGGGTTTCTTTCGCTGTCATCTTTATGGGAGCAGCAGATCACCAGGCCTTTCTTTGGTACCGCTGGGTGGGCTTGAACCACCAACCTTGAGGTTAGTAGTCAAGCATAAGTCATTTGCACCATGTAGGGACTTTGTGCATTCCAAGGAACCAGCAACTCCTTTTCTAGCCATATGCCCTTGAACAACTCTTGACCATGTACACAGTGAGACACAGACACATTGCAGTTTTGTGTCTTAGAGTGGAAACAGCTAAATATCCATCAGTAGATGAATGGGATTAAAAAGTCCAATGCAGTGTAGCAGTGAGAATGAGTGAAACAGAGCTACATGGATTGAGGCAGACTAATCTCTAGCATATAGTATTAGGGGAGAAAGCAGAGTGCAGAATCATACATGCTGCAGGGCTCAAGTTTAAGTTCAAGTTTAAGTATATGAATGTAAATGACACACTCCATTCTCAGAATAATCAGGACAATGGTTATCTCCGGAATGGGAGGGAAGAAAAGATGTGAGGGAAAGAGGAAGACAGGGGGATGAGATTAGGAAGGGAACCAGCAAGCGACCAATTGTCGTTTAAGTGTTTTATTTCCTCAAAACCATCTGAATCAAATATGGCAAAATGTTAACTTATGTGAACCCTGGGCGTTGGGTACAGGACCGTAAATTCTGTCATTCGTTATGCCTTTCCATATGTTTGGGAAATGTCATTATAAAAGCATTTAAAATGATTAAATGTGCTAATGCATTAAAGCCTCTAGCTTGGTATTTTATTGTAGATCTAAAGTCCCCTTTGCTTTAAAGGCACACTTCTTTGATGTTAGGATTGTGTATAAAATCCTTTCTTTATTGGGTTACCTCCTTTGTTATCTCAAATGGTCTATGCTAGATCCAATGTGCTCTTATCCTAGGGAGTCCTGACTACTGTTCTAGAGTCAGGAATTGGGCTGGGCTCTCATGTCCGGAGTTTAAAGGGAGCAACCTCAATGGCCTTGAAGTGTTTGGCTGAAAAAACGAGGAGACCTGGAGAAGGAGAAAGGTGACACAGCTCTCCTGCTGGTTCTCCCTGGTCCCACCTCACCCCCCACTGCTGTGAGTCTGCTCTAACATTCACTCATTGTAGCATTAAAAACCAACAAACAACAGGTGAAACCCCCAAGAGTGCTGTCCATGGTTACCCTTCAGGCCTAGAACTGGACTCACTCCTGTGGCTTAACTCTCAGCCAAATGGGCCTACGAGCTGAACAACTACATACCTTAGGACAGTCAACTGAGAGAGGTGGGAAGGGCAGCGTTTGCAGAAGGAGAAAGCTAGGCAGGTGGGAATGCACAGGTAAGAAGGACACAGGAAGGGGCATCTACAGGCAAGAGGTGGGAGGAAAGCTCTTCCATCATGGGGACTGTAGTCAGTGCTGGAAACAAAATGTGTATGAACTGTTGAGTGTGAAATGAATCTGCTTTGTCAATGTGCACCCAAATCACAGTCAAAAACTAACAAAGAAACTACCATAATTACCGTGGCTGCCCTCGATGTCCATCTGAACCGGGCCCACCTGCCTTTGTGAATAAGTGAGTGATTTAGGGGAAGGATACTGATAGCAACGTCATTACAAAGTAACAGACATTGTGTGCTTGGTAAGCAAATACATGAAATATGTCCCTAAGATACTTTAAGAGACAAGCTAGCTCTCCAGTGGTGGGATTCTGGGTAGTAACATAAAATAAAAAGCAAATTCACTGCCATCCAGTTGATTCCAACTCATCTTGACCCTCATTGGGTTTCTGAGGTTGTAAATCTTTATAGAGGTAGATTGCCCCATCTTCCTTCCACAGAGTGGTCGGTGGGTTTGAACCGCCAACCTTCTGGTTAGCAGTCAAATGCCTCAGGCACTGTGCCACCAGAGCTCCTTGGGTGGCAGCATAGGCAGAGGAGAACACTGGGGGGACAGAGGAGCATTTCCCACAACTGTGAACTCAGAAGCTGTCTCTGTGTTCTCTGGCTGCAGTAGTTTCAACAGCAAGCATCGACATGGGGAGAGGGGCGATGTAAGTAACCACCCAGGGGACACTGGGCAAGGTCTGTGGATATTTCTTGCTATTTATCCCAACTGGTTTGGGGGCCCTATTAGCAGCTAATGGAAAGAGGCTGGGGATACTGCTAAACCTCCCCAGGTTTAGTAGAGGACAGCCCCCATCACAGCAAATAATCTGGCACAAAATGTCCCAAGTGCTGCTGTTCAGAACCCTGATACAGTGATGGCAAGAACCCCAGGCTTCTATTCTCCGGAAGCTCAGAGCAGTTAACCCAAAGCTCCGTCATCCAAAGCCACGTCGATAGAAGTGGCTCACCAGTACCAGCTGCCATTGAGCCGATTCTGCTTCACGGCGGACCCCAATGTGGAGCACAGCACAGAACTGGGCTCCATGGGGTGTTCAAGGCTGTGAGCTTGGCAGACTGCCAGGCCTTTCTTCTGCGGTGTATCTGGGTAGGTTTGAACCACCAACCTTTAGCTTAAGAGTCGACCACCTAACTACCTGCACCACCCAGGGATTCCTCACTTACTGAAAACTCACTGCTGTCGAGTCGAATCTGACTTATATGATCCCTCCTAGGGTTTCCGAGGTGGTATCTCTACAGATAGATAGCCTAGTCTTCCTTCCAAGGAGTGTCTGGTGGGTTTAAACTGCCAGCCTCCTGGTTAGCAGTCAAGACTCCTAGAAGGTCTAAATCTAGGTTTGCCTGACTGCAAGCCTAGCCAGCCCTTGGCTGCCTCTAGCAAAAGTCTTATTCTCATGGTGCCAGCCCTGGGGCTCATAGGCCATTCCCATTCACCCTCACTGAAATGAGGGCTGTCTCCACTCTCCCTGATAGTTGCTGAAGGCAAGGTAACCCTGCCCATAGCTCTCGGTTGGTCCAACTGTTACTCGCATGGGTTCTTCTAAGAACCCCTCTGTTTGCTGACATCTGCAGGTCTCCTTTGAAGAGCCAGTGAGTATGGGCAAGGACTAAGTGGTGGAGAAGCAGATACTACAGGAAGCAAGAGGTGGCCAGCTGAAAGACTGGTCCCTGGCCTTTTCTGAAATCAGAGGGATGTTGCCCTTCCAGCTGACCTCCTCTGGATCCACCTCTCCAACAGGCCTGGAGGCACCTACTGTCTGCCCAGTGCCCGCTGCTGTCTTCCTCCTTACCTGGTCACAGAGGGTCCCAATCAAGCCTTCCAAATCCTGCTTCTCATGGAGGACCACCTGCTTTTCCTCGTACTCCTGCTCCAGTTGCATTTCCAGCTGCCGGAGCTGTGGGTACAAAGGGAGATGCATGCACAAGGTGAGTGGACTCCACAGGACACACCAAACAAGGCAGGGATCCTGAGGGGAATATAGGGCTGGTGGCCCCTCACCTGGCTCCACAAAGGCTGCTCTAGTGACTGGGACCCATTGTGTCAAGTCATTCCAACTCATGGTGACCCCATGGGTTACAGAGCAGAACTCCACAGGGTTTTCTTTTTTTTATTATGCCTTGAGTGCAAATTTACAGAGCAGAATTTGTTTTACATTCAACAGTTCATGTACATTTGGTTTCACTCCCCAATTACTAAACCCACTCTCCTCCTCTCCCTTCCCTATGACCCCCCATCCCTGTGCCCTTCTTAGTTATGCACTCCTGTCTGCCTCCATGTGAATGCTGCCCCTCTGGTGCCTCATGGCTGGTTGCTCCAAGGGCTGTATATCCGTAGAGTAGGTGGGTGCATTGCTCTGGGTTGGGTGTTCTGCATGTAAGTCTTACTACTGTCGGGCTGAGAGCCAGTCCTTGGGAGTGAGTCTTATCCCAGGCCCGAAGTGTATCCCAGGGCCATAGTCTTGGGGGTCCCATCAGACTCCATCCGACCAGTAATTCTGGTCATTATTGTGTTTTTGAATTTTGTTCCATGTTTTTTCCTCCCACTCTATCCAGGAGCACCAGTTTTGATCATCCATAGGGTTTTCTTGGCTATAATCTTTATAGAAGCAGATTGCTAGGTCTCTATTCTGCAGTGCTGCAAGGTGGGTTCAAACCACCAACTTTTAGGCTAGTAGTTGAGTGCAAAGCATTTGTACCACCCAGGGACCTTAACAACTGGAAAGAGGCATCTATGTTGGAAAACTCAGGAGCTGCTTTAGAAGCTTAGGAGCTGGCCAATTACAGGGATCTCCCTGTCATTCTCCCACAAAGTCAACATCCCTGCTCCCCAGTTCTCCATCCAGATGGAAGGGATGTCTCCCTCTTCCACTCACATGACAAATATCCTGGCACTCAGACTTTGACCAACATCATATGCAACATATTAAAACGTATCCACCTTCCTTATTAAGCACTACAATTAAAAAAAAAAAATTCATTTGAGGTTATGTCTCTAGGAGCAACTCAGTGAATTTACTATTAGCTCTATTTCTCTGCAATCATCCAATACATTCAGGCATTGTTGTGAAGTGACCAGTTAAAAACCGGTTACCATCAAGTTAACTGGACTTTGGTCATATTGTCAGAAGGGACTAGTCCCTGGAGAAGGATATCATGCTTGGTAAAATAGAAAACCAAAATCCAAACTCACTGCCATCAAGTCGATTCTGACTTATAGCAACTCCCACTGGGTTTCTGAGGCTGTAAATCTTTACAGAAGTAGATCGGAAAATGGGGCATCTTCCTTCCGTGGAGTAGCTGGTGGGTTTGAACCACTGACCTTCTGGTTAGAAGCCAAATGCCTTATCCACTATACCACCAGAGGGTAAGACTCTCATGGAAATGGATTGACACAGTGGCTGCAATGATGGGCTCAAGCAGAGCAAAGATTGTGAGCATGGCGCAGGACTGGGTAGTGTTCTGTTCTGTTGTGCACTGGTTCACTATGAATCAGAGCCGACTTGATGGTGCCTAACAAGAACAACTGTCAAGGTGACTCTTAACTCATGGAGACCCCATGTGTACCAGAGCAGAACTGTGCTCCACAGGGTTTTCAATGGATGGTTTCACATAAGACGATTTCCAGGCCTTTCTTCCAAGGCACTTTGAGTGGACTTAAACCACCAACCTCTTGGTTAACAGCTAAGTATGTTAATCATTAGCACCACCCAAGGACAGTCCACTGTAGCTGTTGGCCCCCCACTCCCAGCCTCTCATATCTATTACTCATCCCTTCCATCCTCCCTAATGACTCTATTTCACAGATGGGCAAATGATGCCCCAGACAGGTTCAAAGATTCATACTTCACAGAAAGAAGTTACTGCCCTATCTCCTGGCCTCAGCTCTTTCTGGAACCCAGACAGCCATCCACTTCCCACCTAGGTCACTGACAATTGATTTCCTGCCATGATGAGAGATGGACTGAGCAGAGTAGTCACTAGAACATGAAGTCAATGTTAGTGTCTGTCATAAGGGGAAAAAGACCTTTCCCTGACCTCACTCTCTCCCTTCATAAATCTGCCCACAGAAATGACCCCGGAGGTTCTGGGTCGTATCGCCCACTTGCCAGGGCCCAGGCTTAAGGCACACACCATCAGACACTGGAATTCTTGGAATGGAACAGAAGAAAAGTGTGCAACCTTCACTTGAGGGGACATGAGCAGGGGCTGGGGGCTTCCATCTCCTGATCCATGGAGGAAATAAAATACAGATTGATAGTCACTTATATAGAAAGCACCAAAACCAAAAGCCAAGCCCAATGCCATTGAGTTGATTCCAACTCACAGTGACCCTCACTGGGTTTCCAAGGTTGTACATCTCTACAAAAACAGATTGTCTCAAAATGACCAGAATTACTGGACAGAAAGAGACTGGTGGAACCCCGAGACTATGGCCCAAGGTTACCCTTCAGGCCTAGAAATGGACTCACTTACATGGATTGGCTCCCATCCCAACAGTAAAAAGACCTATATTCAGAACACCTACCCCAAGGTGATGTACCCACCTACTCTAAGAAGAGGCACCCCTTGCATCCATCAGTCATGAGACATCAGAGGGGCAGGAATCACATAGAGGAAAAGCTGGACAGACAGGAATGCGTGGATGAGAAGGGCACAGGGAAGAGGTGGCCATAGGGAGGAGAGTTTTTTATGGTTGTGGACAGTAATCAGGGCCATGAAATCAGATGTACGTGAACTGTTGAATATGAAACAAGTTTGCTTTGTAAATTTGCATCCAATGCACAACTGAAGAAAAAAACAAGTAAATTGTCTCATTGTCCTCCCTCAGAACAGCTGTTGTTGTTGTTATGTGCCGTCGAGTCGGCCCCAACTCATAGCGACCCCTCCTTGGGTTTCCGAGGCAGTATCACTACAGAAGTAGGATTGCCCAACCTTCCTTCTGAGGAGTAGCTGGTGGGTTTGAACCGCCAGCCTTCTGGTTAGCAGGCAAGTGTCTTAGCCACTATGCTACCAGAGCAGAACAGCTGGTGGGTTTGAAATACGAACCTTCTGGTTAGCAACCAAATGCCTTACCCACTATGCTACCAGAGCTCCTCGTAGGAAGCAAGTTCCCTTCAAAACTTTCTTTTAAGAGTGAGAAATACAATGCACTCTGCTCACATCTGCTTTTGGAAAAACTAAAACTCATTTTTAAAAATATACAAAACAATAACAATATGTGAAGCCAGACAAAGTTTCCTGGAGTGTGTTCCATGGAGCTCCACCATGGTGTTCATAGGATTGATGTTGGGGGAAGGGAGAGGGAAGTCCACTCTAGAATGAGTGTGGGAGCCACTGAGTTAACAGGCTTCTCACTGTAGGACTTATCAGAGTCTTTGGTAAGCTCATGTGTATCAGAGGATGCAGCACTGCCTAAGGTTGGCATCCATCAGGTTCTTCCTAAATGATCTTCTAGGGACCAGACATTTTGGGGGAAAATAAAGAAGAAAAAAACAGTGTTTCGGTTAAGAGCCTGGGCTTTACAGTCCCATTCTGCTACATCTCACTTGAGTGAGGTTGGGAAAGTCACTTCACTTTTCTGCAGTTTACTTTCCTCATCTGCAAACGAGGACAATACATCTTACAGAGTTCGCCTGAAGATTAAACTGGCAGACATAAAGAAGCCAGCCTGGTTCATGGCTCCCAGTGGGTGTTCAAAAATGCCATTCATTCTCTCCTAAATATAATATAGGAAAACAAGCTGAAGTCGGTCCCTTAATAACAGCTCCCAGTTCTTCACAGTGTACAGGGCACTTCTCATTCTTTTATCTGAGCCTCCCAGCGCTATAGGGAAGGCAGAAAAGAGTCTGCCATTGCTCCCATTTCATTGCTGGAGAAACTGAGCTCTGGCAAGATTGCACAATTTATTCAAGGGCATACAGGTCATTGATCTTTTTTTCCTGACCCTGGGGAATTCTGAGGGGAATGCACGTGGCCGCTTGGGATGACCCACATGACTTCCCAAAGAGACTGAGCTTTAAAGGGGCTCTGAAAGGAGGCTGTGGGGAGCTGGAGGGCAGCTGACTCTCAGTGGCATCAGCCCGTAGGGGTGGAGAACAGCTCAGTTCTCAGACACTCCCCAGAGTAATGACATGGTACCACAGCAGCCAGATCTATGAGGATGCCTGAGCCGGGTTCCTGGTCTCCCGTGGAGGTCCTGACAATCACCAAAACCTGCTCCATCCTTGCCATGGACTATTCTGGAGCTAATTAAATGGCATCCCACTGGGGGCTCTGCAGGGTGCCAAGTCCCCCTTCCACTCCCTCCTCCTGGATAGATTAATCACACCCAAGAGGAAACCAACTGTCAAGCCAGCTCCCCGGCTCCCCTGGGAGGGCCAACTGCCTGTAATCCATACACACTACTCTTGCTCTTAGTTTCACAACAAACAGGAATAACATCGTAAAACTCTGTGATGTTTCTATGCCAGTCATTTCATTGACTCTTCACCATGATCCTGCAAAGTTGACATAAGCATCTCCATTTCACAGATAAGAAAAGTAAGGCTTATAAACAAGGTTATGTGACTGACTTGTCCAAAGTCCCACATTTGGTAGTTAATAGAGTTAGGACTTAGTCCAAGTTTCCTTGACTCCAAATAAAATAGCAAAACTGGTCTTGTGTGTCTTATAAACTGGCTAAGTGACCAGGGCTGGGTAGAGAACAAGGAACCAAGGAACAAAATGGATTTTAATTGAAGTTGGGGGTTTAATATCATTAACCAAGATCACACAGTTGTCAAGTTAGAAGGGCAGAGGTTTAAACCAAGAGTATGTGAGTTCCAAAGGCCAGGCTCTCGGTTCTACCATCTAGATCTCTGTGGGCACTGCTCGCTGTTGGTGTATTATGAGTGTCGAGTCAGCTCTGACTCATGCAACTGTATGTAAAACAGAACAACACGTTGCCTGGTCCTGTGCCATCTCCATGACTGGTGGTATGTTTTCAGTACACTGTTGTGGCTACTGGGTCACTCCATCTCATGGAAGGTCTTCTTCATTTTAACTGACCCCCTACTTTACCAAACAATATGTCCTTTTATATTGATTGATCTCTCCCAATGACAGGTCCAAAGTCAACCAGGCAAAGTCTTATCATCCTCCCTTGTAAGAAATGTTCTGGGTGAATTTCTTTTAAGACTGATTTGTGTATTCTTTCGACAATCCATGATATACTCAACCAACACGACAATTCTAATGCATCAATTCTTCTCTCTTCCTTTTTCATTGTCCAGCTTTTGCATGCATCTGAGGCAATGGAAAAGACCATGGCTTGGGGCAGACACACCTAAGTCATCAAAGTGACATTTTTGTTTTGTTTTTATGTTTGGGTAGTAAAACAAAACAAAACAAAAACCTTTAAAGCTTTAAAGAGTTCTTTTGCAGCATAGTCGTCCAATACAATAATACATCACTTGATTTCTTCACTGCTGCTTCTATGGACATTGTTTAGGGAGCTACTAATAGGAATTAAATTAGGAAATACTACTCAGCCCCTTATGGAGATTCATAATTGTGCAAAAGGATATGAAAGTCTGACAGTGACACAACCTGCTAAATAAGGCTTAACCCAAAGCTTTCCATCAATTCTACCTTGAGGATTCATTATACATTCACATCAGTCAATACATCTATAAGGGTGATTACCTCAGCATTGGTCAGAATAGCAGAAAATCTGAAACAACTGAAATATCTAAGGACATAGGGAATTTGCTGAATATATCACAGCACATGCACAGCTGGGATATTTTTAAACCACTAAACACATAAGTTAGAACTGTATTTATTGACATGCAAGGAGGCCATGAAAAACTCCAGTGAAAATAGCAGGCTTCAAACCAGCATGACCCATTTAAGTAAGATGGTATCTCTACATGTGTTTTTGTTTGTTTGTTTGTTTGTTTTTTGTGTGTACCAAAACAGAACTTTGAAAGAACATTTATAAATAGTTATAATGATGGGTTCTGGGTGGTAAGGTTTCAAGAGTTCAATGCTTTCTTACAGTTTTAAATTTCTACAAATAGCTTAAATAAAATGGAAGAAATTATTTGAGTTGAAAGAGAAATGGTCAGAAGGGACTGGTCTCCTTCTTGAAACTTCTAAGTCCTCACCCAGGGCATCAGTCCCCTGGCATTATGGGCTCTTGGCAGAAGATTGGGATGATTATGTTGGACAGTTCCAGAGGCTTCTGGAAGACCCGAGATCATATTTAAGGCAGGCACTTCTGATCCTACATCCTTGAAACCACCCAGGAAACTAAGGTTTCAGGTGGTCAGCAGAAAGATCTGTCCCTAGACCCTGGCCTCCCACTCACTCTGAGGAAGAGGGCCCCAAGACTAGCTGTGCTGGAACCCTAAGGCATGGCTGTGCCAGCTGCCTACATACCCGCTTCTGGCAGGACTGACGGACGTCCTCCAGTTCCTCCTCCTGATCCTCATGGTCCTTCTGATGCATCTGCTTCATCCGTTCAATCTCCAGCTCAAACCGCTGACGAAGCTGTGGGACAGCAAGAACAATACATGAGGGTGACCCACTCCATTCCCCTGGCCCTCCATGTCATCCCTGACATTCCAACTGCACTTTTCATTTTTGGAGCTCATGCATGAGACTCTGTTATCCTCCTAGCCACCCAGAAAGGTCAGAAATAGTAGACAAGTAGCTCAAATATTATCTACATCCCTTTTTACGGTCATAACAGACATCACTAATCAATCACTCTTTTCTACTGAGTTTAGATGCAATCTCAGAATCCTTCTCAACACTTTTGAGATAAAACAAAGTTGTCATCCATGGAGCAGATACCAGTGGTGGTATTTTGAATGGATATATGTATGTATGTATGTAGTGATAGAAAGATGGATGGATGGGTGCATGTATGGATGGGTGTATAGATGGATGGTATACAGATGGATGAATGGATGGGTAAATGGATGGATGGGTAGGTGGGTGGATGGGTGGATAGATGGTTGGATGGGTGTATGGATGGAGGTTGTGTGGATAGATAGCTGTATATAAATGGATGTGTGTATAAATGGATGGATGGATGGATGAGAGGATAAAAGTTTATCTATACAGAAATGAAAGCCTGGAGAAGGAAAAACTTGTCCAAGATGTTGCCTTGGGTGATTCATGTTACCTCTGATGAGGTCCCTTGCCTGGTAGAAAACAACTATCTTATAATATGTTGTTGTTGTTATGTGCCATCAAGTTGGCCCCGACTCATAGCGATCCCTCCTTGGGTTTCCGAGGCAATGTCACTATGGAAGTAGATTGCCCAACCTTGAGAATAAAATGAGCTAATCAATGGAGAGCACTTAGCACAATTCCTGGCATACAAATATTCATTATGTTGTCTTATTCCATAATTCTGAATACGGAGAGAAAGGGTATCCTCTCCCTTCCTGACACCTGACATAATTAAGAGCTGTGTTCTCAGGAAAGAGCTGGGTCTCTTCAATGAGAAGCCTCTGAAACTTGTGTGGAACAAGCAAAGAGCTGTGCATGGTGTCTGAACTGTGTGACGCTGTATAAAATGTTCTGACCAGGATGCAGAAGTTATGGATTCCAGCTCTAGTTCAAGATTTTGCTTTTCTGATTGGCACAATTGAGAGAGTGACCCACACCCCTGCTTCTCAAGTTTTGTGGCATTAGAATTACGTAATGCACTTAACTATTTTGTGGTCCTGTGGTGACTTGTGTGTTGCTATGATGCTGAAATCTATGCCACCAGACTTTCATATATCAGCAAGGTCTCTCATGATAGGTTTCAGAGGAGCTGCCAGACTAAGACAGATTAGGAAGAAAGTTCTGGTGATCTACTTCCAAAAAGTGACCCATGAAAACCATATGGCTCACAACAGAAGACTGCTCAATATTGTTCTGGGAGATGAGCTCCCTAGGTTGAAAGACACTGAAAAATGGCCACAATGATGTTCTCAAATATGCCAATGATCATGAAGATGGCACAGGACCTGGCAATGCTTCATTCTGCTCCACATAAGGTCAGCATGAATTGGAGAAGACTTAATGGCAACTACCAACAACAATTCACTTAAAAGAAAGAAAGTAAATACTGGTGGTTCATCCCACACCTATTGAATCTGAAGCTCCAGGTGTGATAGTTAAGGTTAGGTGTCAACTTGGCTGGGCCTGGTGTTGAGTGGCTGGGCAGCTGGATGTAGTTATTCCTCATGATGAGACTGGTAATCAACTCCATGGTGCAATCTACTGGAGCAGCTGAGTAGCTGTCTTAGGGATGTGGTCTGCTTGGAGTATATAAGGAGACACTTTGAGAAAGGTCTCCAGTTTTTAGCACATCTAGATCTTGCATTTGGCCAGATCTCTGCCTCAACAGCCTGCCATGTTGCCTGCCGATCTTGGGACTGTCGATGAACTTGAATTAGTGGCCTGCCATATTGCTTGATAATCTTGGGCTGTCCCATTGTACTTGTTGACCTTGAGTTTGTCAGCCTCAGCAGCCAGCAGCTGCCTGAGTTAAAAGAAGCCTCCAGCTTCAGTGAGCTGGGAGCAAGAGGCAGACCTGAAACCAAAGGTCAAGGGGCTTTCACCCAGCTCCTAGAGCTGGCACTTTGAACTCAGACTTCTAACTTTCTAAACCATATGAGAAAAAAAAATCTGTTTGTTAAAGTCATCCACGTGTGGTATTTTTGTTGTTGTTAGAGTGGCGCTAGAGTGCCAAAATGCCAGGGTACAGGAGCCTATATTTTAAAGATTTTATGCAATTCTCTTATGGTCTGTGGCACAGCACTTGGAACCCAGCAGCGTAGATGGGTTACACTGTAGAAACTATAGGTTTCTGTCTATTTGCTGCATGGCTCCAGCCCTCTCACCAGGCTTTCTGAGGTTCCTCATGGCTATCCTAACACGGAAATTAAAATCGTTAGGAAAACAACAATCTTGGTCTTTTGAAAAGTTGACAATATTCTTTGCAATGTAGGACTGTAGGAGTCCCTGGGTAGTGCAGAGAGTTAAGCACGTTACCAACCAAAAGATTGGGGTTCAAATCCACCCAGAGGCATGTCAGAAGGAAGACCTGGTGATCTACTTCTAAAAGACTACAGCTGTTGAAAACCCAGTGGGCTTCCATTTGGACACACATGGGGTGGCCTTGAGTTCGAATCAACTCAACAACAACTGGTTTGGTACACAGTCCTGTGCTGAAGGTTGAAAGGAACCTGTACATCCTAGGGCCTGGCAGAAAGGAGGCTCCCTATAAATGTCAACTCTCTTCTCTCCTATAAAATGACCAAGGTTATGGGATGATAACCCAAAATGAGGACTCCAAGCAAGTAAATATAATATTTCTTTTTCATTTTTTCTTCCAGCCTCATGGACACTCCCGACATCTGCAATACCATTTATGTCAAGCTTATATGAGTTAACATAAAATTCCCTGGAAAAAGCGCTATATTATAATCCATAAATATCTACTGAATGTCTGCAAGGGCACAATGCAGTGTGGAGTTATGGGTAAAGCTGAAGATGAATGAAAGCCTGGAGTCAGCCTTGCCTACTGTGGATTGAGGTAGAGAAATGACAAAGTTACATTAACTTTGGGGTCCCTGAGGTGACAGGAGCACATTACTGCTTCTAAGCACTGAGTGGTCCCCTGGTGGTATCTTAAAGAGTTAACACAATTCTCAAAAGTGCTGGCTTTACTTCTGCCTCTGCGAGGCTCCTGCTGGTTGATGGAATACTGGGGTGCTGTGTGATGCTGTCCATCCTCCCTATGCCTTACAGACTGGCACAGGGTTTACCTCCTTTGTGACCCTTCACAGACTCATTGCTGGGGGCAAGAGGGAAGCTAGGTGATTGACCAGGCTCAAAGTGCAACCTTAAGGAGATAGTTCAACTCTGATGCACATGGGAAAGCCATGAGCAGGCAACTAACTTAGTGCAACTGGGTTTTCCTGAACTTGACCTAGAGGACACAAGGTCTACTGGGCCTGTTTTTTTTTTTTTTTTTTTTTTCATGAGGAGACTGAAGTCTAAAGAGAATAGGGGACTTGTCTAAAATCCTATGGACAAGGACTGCCTCAAGGACCCCATCTAGCTATGATCATTCATAGTTCCTTAAAAGCACATGACTTTCCTGCCTCTGGGCCTTGTACAGGCTGTTCTCCCTGCCTGGATACTGGCAAACTCTGACACAGCCTTCAGATTTCAGCTGCAGTAAATGTCACTTCCTCCAGGTAGTCTTCCCTGACCACTCTCACGATGTTGCTCCCAAGACTAAACTGCAAGTTAAACTGTCCCATAGCGCTGCCCACTTCCCCATTACCCCTCAGTGTGCGTCTCCACTGCAGGAAGGCTGAGAGTGACTGATGCATCTACAGCACCCACATGGTGCCTGACACGTGTCATTCAAAACCAAAAAGCCAAACTCACTACCATCAAGTCGATTCTGACCCACAGTGAGCCCCACTGAATTTCTGAGGCTGTAAATCTTCATGCAAGTAGACTGCCCCATGTTCCTTCAGTGGAGCAGCTGGTGGGTTTGAACCTCTGACCTTCTGGTTAGCAGCAAAACGCCTTATCCACTACCCCTTGTGTTAAGTTGGCCTCCGACTTATGGTGACCCCCTGAGCGACAGAAGCAACGCTGCCCAGTCCTGTGCCGGCCCGTGATCAGCTGCAGCTCAGATTGTTAGGATTCCTAGGCTTCCATTGGCTGAGTTTGGGAAGTACATCACCAGGCCTTCCCTCCTAGTCCATCTTAGCATGGAAGCTCCACTCCATCTACGGACTGGGTCCCAAATCCCATTCTCTGTTTACATCACACAGCACCCCAGTGTTCTATAAACCAGCAGGAGCCTTGCAGAGCCAGGAAGAAAGCCAGCATTTTTGAAAATTGTGCTAACTCTTTAAGATATCACCAGGGGACCGCTCGGCGCTCATAGCAACATGCAAGCCTCCACTGACATATGGATGCTGGCTGTACACGAGGGATGCTGGCTGGGAATCAAACCTGGGGAGAGGAAAATTCCACCAGTGAACCACCAATACTTCGCCTGACACATAAACCCCAAACCAAATCGACTGCCATTGAGTCAGCTCTGACTCATAGTGACCCTAATGGATTTCCAAGGCTGTAATCTTTGCAGAAGGAGCTCTGGTAGTGTAGTGCCTAAGGCACTTGACTGCTAACTAGAAGGCTGGCGGTTCAAACCCACCAGCCACTCCTCGGAAGGAAGGTTGGGCAATCCTACTTCCGTAGTGATACTGCCTCGGAAACCCAAGGAGGGGTCGCTATGAGTCGGGGCCGACTTGACGGCACACAACAGCAACAACAATAATCTTTGCAGAAGGAGCTCTGGTAGTGTAGTGCCTAAGGCACTTGACTGCTAACTAGAAGGCTGGCGGTTCAAACCCACCAGCCACTCCTCGGAAGGAAGGTTGGGCAATCTACTTCCATAGTGATACTGCCTCGGAAACCCAAGGAGGGGTCACTATGAGTTGGGTCCGACTCCATGGTACATAACAACAACAATCTTTGCAGAAGCAGACTGCCATAGTTTTCTCCCCCAGAGTGGCTGGTGGGTTTGAACCACCAACATTTTGGCTATCAGCCAAGCACTTGAACCACTGCTCCACCAGGGCTCCTGTCTGACACATCATAGGTACTTAATAAATATTGTTGAGTATGTGAGCCAAGAAGCTCTGTCTTTAGCTCTACAAGTGACTGACTCAGTCCCTTAACCAGTATCCAACACCCTCCAGAATCTGTCCCTCCCCACCTGTGTGTTAGTGCTCGCAAGCTGCCTTCCTGATGGAGTGGAGGAGCCGAGGGTCAATACTGCCTCCCCAGCCCCGCTCTCACAGGGCTGCTCAGGGATCATCTGCTGCACACATTCATCCTGCCTGGCCAGACTGCCTTGAAAAAATGGGGCCCAGCCTGCAAATGATTTAAAGTAGTTGTCCTCTAAGACTCCCATGAGGGGATTGGTGGTGCAGTGGTTAACCCATCCGGCTGCTAACCAAAAGATCAGTGGTTCGAACCCATCAGCTGCTCCGTGGGAGAAGGTGAGGCAGTCTGCTTCTGTAAAGATTTATAGCCTTGGAAACCCTATGAGGCGGTTCTACTCTGTCCTGTAGGGTTAGTATAGTCAGGATCAACTCAATGCAGTAGGTTTGGTTTTGGGTTTATGAACTCCCACATGGGAAATTTCATTTGTGTTAAGCATCCGGAGAAGTCTTGCACCAGTGTGTAAGACCGTATCATTTGTGTGTCTGCATCTTAATTCCCTGTCTCCACCCATCTTTAGTGTCTATTTTCAATTGGATTTTTCTGGCTCGGATGGTTTTATTTATAATTTTCTATTTTATTATGCATATAAGGAGCCCTGGTGGCATAGTGGTTAAAGTGCTTGGCTGCTAACCAAAAGGTCAGAGTTTCAAACCCACTGGCCACTCTGGGAGAAAGATGAGGCAGTCTGTGTTTGTAAAGATTGACGGCCTTGGAAGCCTTATGGGACAGCAGTTCCACTCTGAATCAAGTCAACGGCAGTGGGTTTGGGCTTGGTGTCATGTATATCTATCACACAACCCCAGTTGCCATTGAGTGGTTCCCAATGATGGCAACCCCATGTGTTCTGGAGCAGACCTGTGCTCCATAGGATTTTCAATGACTATTTATTTAGAAGTGGATTGCCAGGCCTATCTTCTGAGGCACCTCAGGGTAGACTTGAACCACCAAGCTTTTGGTTACCAGCCAAGCACATTACCTATTTGCACCACCCAGAGACTCCATCCTTACAGCATATTGTTGTCGTTATTTGCCATTGAGTTGGACCTGACTCATAGCGACCCCTCTTGGGTTTCTGAGGCAGTATCTCTACGGAAGTAGATTGCCCAACCTTCCTTCCAAGGAGTAGCTGGTGGGTTTGAACCGCCAGCCTTCTGGTTAGCAGTCAAGTGCCTTAGACCCAATGCTACTGCCTCAAATTCTTTGTAGAAAGAAGTGGGATATAAACAAATAAGCAGACAAATCAACTATTCATCTGGTACCTGGCTGAGGGTGCTGGTACCAGAGCACTGAATATTCCCACTTTATTCCCTTTAGTTACATTCCCAAAGAAGTCTCCTTTGAGGCTGGGCACACAGTAGGCATTCAAGGCACTGTGGATTCAGATGATCCACATCCCAGCCCCACCATTCATTCCATGTCTCTGGGCTCCCACTTCCAGATCTGCAAAGCAGGTGATCACCCTAGTGTCTCACCACATAAGGTTATTGTGGATCTTCCATAACATGCTGCATGCGGAGAGCTTAGGGATGAGCCTAGTACACTGAAAGTGCTCAATCAATGTGAGCGACTTGGTCATTTATTGAGCACCAACTATATGCCTGACCTCATTCTAGGCTCTGGGAATGCAGGGTTGACAAAATCCCTGCCTTCCTGGAACTTACATCCTAATGCGGGAGACAGGCATCGAGCACATTTTTAAAAAGAACATCGACTGTGATAGGAGGGAGCATTTGGCTGTCAATCAAAAGTTCAGTGGTTTGAATCCACCAGCCACTCTGCACAAGAAAGATGAGGCAGTCTGCTTCTGTTAAGATTCATAGCCTTGGAAATCCAATGGGGGTCGCTATGAGTTGGAATCGACTCTATGGCAATGAGTTTGGTTTGGTTTCGGGTGATAGAAGAGAGAAGACAATTAGTGAATGAGGCGCTGGGTGGCAGCTATTTTCAAGAAGGTGAGCAGGGCAGGCTTCTCTGAGGAAGTGCCATTGAGGCTTGCAGGATGCTAAGAGAGGGCTGCATGATGAAGGAGCTGAACAGCAGGCTCCAGGGTTTAACAAGAACCACAGGTGCATGAGGAGCAGCCCAGTGAGGTGTCTGTGTCACGCTGAGGAACATCGCTCTGCACTGGAGTTAGCACAGGACACCTGAGGGGCTTTCCTACCTGCTCCAGCTGCTTGATGGTGTTTTCCTGCTGATTCTGGATCTTCTGTTGCTCGAGGGCACGGGATTCCATCTTCCAAAGTCTCTCCTTTAAGTCAGCAACGCCATTCTGCCCCAGGGAGGGAGACCTCAGGAGCTCCTGCTTCTGGGTCTGTAGCCTCTCAACCTCCTGCGTCAGCTGCAAGATGTCCCGCTCTTTTTGCTTCAGGGAGAAAGAGGGTAGAGATCTGGAGTGATATGAGAAAGGATCCCCAAGGGATACCTGCTGGAATAGCTCTTGGCTTTCCACTTTTCAATGTATAGCTCCACTTTGAGATCCCTCACAGCGCCCCCTGTGGGGCTGCAGTGGGAGCTGCTCTTTAGGACAGCTGGAACAGACAGTGGTGGGAGAGAATTGCCATTACCCATCCAGTTAGATCTCACAGCATGTAAGAGAGTGTATGCCTGTTGAAGCTAGAATTGAAATGTCGGAGCAAGGCAGCCCAATTTCCAGAAAGGACAGCTCCAGGTTAGGATGTCAGCTCCAGGGCTCAGATAACTTTGGGCCATCTGGTGCTAACTCACTGTCTGCCAAGCCTCTCACACTTCCCAAGTGGGGTACCTTGGAACTCATGCAGATGACGGAGCAAGGACATGACATCAAGTAGGGAAGTCTGATGATCAGTCTGCCAACGGTTGCATGTTTCATTAAGTCATGCTGGGCTATGTTACTACTCCAGCTGCCTTGCCAATCAGGACAAGCCCTCAGGATTCCCTCCCTGTTGCCATTTGCAGCACATGTGGCATGCGGTTGCCCAGCAGGAAAAATCCAAGATGGTGCCATGTTCTCCACCGTTACCTCCAACTGCTGCTGGAGCTTGCCTAGCTCCCACCGGATACTGGTGTTCTCCTGGGTTACTTTCTCTCGGAGGCCTTTCTCAAACACAGACTCACCCAGGGCCTGGGCCAGCTGCATGTCAAACCTGTCCAAGGAAGAACATGTGTCAAGGCATCATGGCGCCATGATAGGTGACCTGGCACGGGGGTGGAGAATGGAGAGAGGTAGCTAGCTTGACAAAACTACAAGAAAGGAAGAGAGACTAAGAACAGAATGATGGAAGATTTGCTCAATGTTTTTATGTGAGGTAAGGATCTGGAACACCAAAGAACAACTCTTAGGGTTTACATAGCATTTCCATAAAATACTGGATACAGTTATTAAGAATCTAATTAAAGTATATAGATAAAGCAAAAATAGAATAAAATTATATACAGACATG